CCGAGGTGTGGGACGTGAGCGAGATCGACGTCGGGCGGGTCTTCCCCCACGAGGTCTCGTACCGGCTGCACGTGCGCGCGGGCCCCGACGACGAGATCCTCGGGAGCGTCATACACCCTGCCGTGCGTGACCAGCCGGCGCCCGAGCTCGTCGCGCCGGAGAGGGGGACGGTGAAGCAGATCATCGTCGGCATCCTCGCAGACGTCTGACGGGCGGCCGCTTTCGTCTTCGCTCGTTCCTGCTGCACTTCTCTTCGATTCTTTTCTCACCATGTTTAATTTCGCGAGTTCTCGCCCTTCCACCGCTCGTCGTGTGTTTGCTCGCATCGCCCGACCCGCCCGCGTTCGCGGGCGCTGTTCAGGCAACCGGCGGGTAGATCAGTGGGCGACCAGTGAACATGTCAGTGGGCGACCAATGAAAATGTCAGTGGGCACTCACGGCGACGCCAAAAAATAGTTAATGTATATTTGTATTACAGTTCTTTTGTGACAAAAGTAAGCTCTCCTATTCAAACAAATAGATAGTAGATGTGTACTTTTTCTGTACCTATCTTAATGGAAAATATATTCATTATTCTATAGATAGATAGCCCAGCGGTATTTGTACCCTCTTTTTGCTGCAAGCAGAACAGCTTTTTAGAACAAGATTCACCAGAAAAAGGTGTCATTGTTTGGCTCCTACTTCCAGGTTTTACCTATCATATGTTTTTACCAGAAAGTGTTCGGTCTTTTTAGGTTCTATTCTCATAACAATTTTCGTGCCTCTTTCAGCTGAAAATATTAACTAATTAGCACCGTGTTATGCGGTCACAGCGGCTGGTACAAGCACAGCCATACGAAAGTCGACGCGTAACTATAGCGGTGGTCGTATGCCCTTATTGTAACAGATATATGCGCTCAAATTATGCGATCACGATTCTCCGAGGTCGTTTCGGATAATAAGGCATTCAGAGCTCGCTCTGGCTGATCCCAATGAAGCTGACAAAACGCGCTATAGTTTAGTATACGTTCAAAGCTGTATATTTCGTCTACTCACGAAGTGATTAGCATTAGTTGGCCTCATGATAGAGACCCTTCGCATCGGCGTTCCGGACGCTTCCCCTTCCTCGATCGTGGCTTGTAGGGCCTACGTCCCCCACGGTACCTCCCACATATATTGATCGCACCAGATGTGGGGGAACTCGATGTCGTCCCAGGGATTTGTGCTTGCCTAGCTAGGCTAAGTGTCGGACGGAGCGACGCGGTGCATATGCAGTACTGCCTCGCTGATCATCTTCCACAGGCCATGGTTTACCCCTACTTGCCACAGCATCTGGTCCGAGCTCCCGGGGCCGGCGGCTACGCTGTACACTATGTCTTGCAGGTCATCGGATGACGTGGACAGGACGCTCGGTGGCGGGCTCTTGACGGGAATACGGAATTCAAGCTCCAACGGCGAGTTGCCGTGGCGTAGTAGCCGGAGATCCATGTAGGGAAATCTTTCGCTCCGTCGACGAGGCCGTGTGTCGCAGGACTGTAATTGTCCTGTGGAGGAGCAAATCCATAGCAGTGATAAGGTGGATCTGGCGGAAACGTTCAGCGAGGGAGCCGGTAAATGGCGTTTAATGTACCTCACCGTAGCGGATGAGCCTCGTCTCTCGAAGTAAAAGAGGGTGCGTATGCAAGCAGAGCAAGGGCAAACGCAGCCCCAAAGGACCATCCTGCAACAATCATGGAGACATGTGGGATGCGCTCCTCTCGGACGAAGGTGTCCAGAGTATCGTATAGCTCTCGAGCGCGATCCTTCATGAATGTATGGATGGCATCGAAAGCTTCAGGGTCGGAGGAATGAGCAATACCGAGGAGGTGGTGTTCATTATCGCTGTATGGGGTAGAGCCTGGATAGTCGCGTCTGTTGACGAGAACGATTCACGTGTAGTTATCGCAAAATGACAGCATGCGGGAGAAAACCCCTGAGCAAGGGCAGGGTAACCTCCCGTCAGGCAGTTCTTACGACAACAAGGTAGAAAGGACGAACCAATGTGCCACGCAAAGCCATGAAGCAACACTAGAGTGGTGTATGACTCCGTTGCAGGTACTCCTGTGTCACGAGTGGCGAACAGTCCGATATTCCTGAGAGTGGACATGGCAGAGCGTCGTACAGGAGTAAATCGAGGTGACTTTGTATTTGAGAAGAACAAAAGGAAGGAAACGATAAACCACCTCGCCCAACGCGCACCATCAAAGGTCATTTAGCAAAAAGCTGCCTAGACTCGCAGCACCAACTTGTCGTTAGCAAAACCCCTCCACCGCCGAACGTGAGAAAACTTATCGGAGTAGGGTACTCGAGGAGCCCTTTCGCCGGCCACTCATCAAGGAATGATACTTTTCTTAAAATCTGGCACGAGCAATTAGCTACGGGTGTACGGTATGGTGCCTGGGAACATACTACGGCTGGAGCATAATTTTTGAACCTCTAGAGGCCCGCGGCGAGAAAGCTGGGACGCGAGATGAGATTTCTGTTGGTTCCTCGTTTTACGTCCATACGTGGTACGATATTTTCGCAGGCTCTAGAGTATCTTGTCTCTGGTGGAAGTGTCGCGAAGTAAGCAGGATCAAGCTATCAAGTCTCGGCGGCAACGGCCGAAGTTGCCTCGCTTACGATCAAAACATTCCCACGCCATGTAAGCAAAACTATCGCGCAGCATTCCTCGGTGGTCCAGCTATAGCCGAATTTCACGACAATCTCTATTGCAACATCATACACACCGCAATAGTATCTCCTGGCGGAATTAAACGCTGCGCGGCGATACAGTTACCGCAGAGGCGAGATATCCCCGGGATCTCAGTGAGCTCGACATCTAGACATTGCGCATACCCTGGGAAGGAGAGATGAGCAATGTCAGGTGATCATAAGCACATCAAGAATTGACAAGCATGTCCCTTAGGCAAGGTCCACTTTGAGCATCGACCTTCATCTCCCGGAACCGCAGCAGATGACGCTCGATCTCGTCTGCTTTCTCCTTCGCCACAGCCCGGAAACGCTTGAAGATAACACTGGCGAAATGGTGCCTTTCTTCTGGGCTCTCGGGAGGGTTGATGTTTGTTAATGTTGGCACCAGCTGTTTCAAAGGTTTGAGAAGTTGGGTCCCAGCTAGGAGATATATACTGGCGACTCGCCTCGTTCAGACCGCAGTAATCTTCTATCAGGTACCTGAGGTCAACTGTACCAGACTCGAGCTCAGCGTCCCAAGAACGCAAATGCGCACAGAGTTTCTCCCAACAGCTGCTGCCTAGTATGAGTCCCACCTGCCGCAAGGCATCAGAAGAGTACGTTGATAAATTCGGCGGCTTGATGTCATACCTCACTCATAGCCCAAACCTCCTCGGCACGCACGAACGCTATCGTGCACAGCCACATGAGCAGGAGCGAGCTCCCGACGGCTAGACACGACGCATGCCCTGAAAGCATGCCACAGTGAGCTGGTGGTTCCAACGCGACGAGAAGCTCATCGCTCACCAAACTCAAGGAGTGCCCTCAAGCCACGGGCCCTCCTCGACGCAAACGCGTCTAGCATGTCTTGCGGGATGCGGTTATGCTCCCAGATACAGGCATCAATCGCCTTGAGTTGCGTCAGCGCCCG